ACAGACAGACAGACAGACAGACAGACAGACAGACAGACAGATAGATAGGATTGTGGAAAAAAAAAAAGAATGAACTGCAAAGCATCACCTTCCTCATGTATTAATGATGGGGTCAGACATGCCAATTGGCTAGACCAGTATTTTTCCAACTAATGAAATAATCTGAAAGTTCAGGCTTGGAACTCTGAATGAATGAAGGAGAGCCATCACATCATAGCTCCAGCTAGTCTGTTCCACTTGGCAAATGGAGATGCTTGGAATCAGAATGGGAACCTTCAGAACCAATCCTGTATGATGGACCTATACTCCGTTCCACAATTGACAAAAGGCTATGTCCTTTAGGGGTATAATTGATGATAACCTATTCTGTATCTAAGAACACGATAGTGTGCTACTTCTTTCTCTATATTTGCTTGTGCTGTAGGAGTGAGTACAAGCCTTGCCCAGCCAGTGGGTGTCCAGAATGCTGAGTCTGCATGCTAGTTACCCGCAGGATCACCACAATCCTCAGAGGAGAGAGACCAATTTCTGGAAGTGCCATGATGCTTTGACGCCTGGAGGTCCTATTCATGCTGATTCACAAACAGATCCTCTGGCTAAAAGCCTGTTGCTGTCAGCATATTTTCAATTATAGGAGTCAAAGTCTCCCAAGCAAATTTAACAGTCAAAGAGCAGGAATAAATTTTGAGTTCTTTCAATATAAACAGTGGGGTCTCCCAAGGATTTATAAAGAGTTGAGTCCTCCAGAGATCTGTAAAGGTTCATAAAGCATCTGGAGTTAACTATAAACATCATTTTGCTGTAGAAACTGATTATCGAAAGTGATTAAAACTATGGTTGTGAAAATATAAGGGAATTCTAAAAGGATTTCTCTAATGCTGTGCCAAAATCCACCTTGTAATTTCTCAAAAGTTATTTCTTCCCTACATAAGGACCTTCTGCTTTTTTACCTTATGCTCAGGATGTTTGAGAATTCCTTCTGAATTTCTCTTGGAAGTTGTGGAGTGTATTACAGAGAGTATTGTGATCACTTTCCTGTACAGAAGCCTCCTAGGCTGCTGACACTTCCCAACCAGAAAAAGTCCCCTGGAAGGAAGTTAAATGAAAGTATGGGAAGCCATAGAAGCTGCAGAACACTGTACAATGAAAAACAGAACATTCACTCACCTCCCTTACCCACCTTGTAATTATATATGTACAAGAACACCCCATTCTCCCAGGAACATTTCACCAAAATTCTATTCTTTGGAGGAAAAAAAATCTCAGTCGAAATTAGTAGGAAAAATGTATAACGTTACTTGAAAGGGCACTGTATTGCTCTGGACTGATTAAATGCATGCTGAACTGGTGTGTGTTTTTCACTTGAAGCAAGTGTAAAGTAATGCACATTGGAATAAAAAGTCAGAACTTCACATCTGCCTTGTGTATCTGAGCTCACAGAGGATAACCAGGAAAAGGATTTGGAGGGTATGCTGGATAACTTGAGGAAAATATCATCCATAATAACTGTGGAGAAAAAAAAAATTCAATACTGAAGTTCTAAAAAAATGTAAAATAAAACTGTGGTTATCATAAAAAGATAAAATCTCCTTCAAGTAGAGTTTGATGCCTGGTGATTGTATGGAGTGGTTTGTCATGGCCGCCCTTCAGGGTGTTTTCCCAACTTCCCCAGCCTAACTACTTTCCTCAGATTTTCTGGTCATTTCTCATCCTTAGTAGTAAGTAGTTACCACCTTGCTTAGTCTTTTCAAGGTTAGACAAGATCAGCTAAGTGCTGCTATCTGCTGTGGCAAATATCTTCATACCTTTGTACAAAGATGTAGTGTGAGTATACCTGGAATATTGCATACACTTGTGGCCACCTAACCTCCCAAAAAGACTTTTAGAGCTGGTAGAGGTGCATAATGGTAAAGTTACCCCTGAGCATTTTTCTTTGGTCCCACATGTTGGTGACAACATAACAACTTCAGGAAGAAGGAAGTGATTTTAATTTCTGTCCAGAGTCAGTAATGGTAGGCAGATTTTATCCTTGATGGCCTTGAAGAACATTTGGAGCAGGTTCAGCAGATTTTGGCTGGTTCTGTGTTTAATCTAAATCATTGAGCATTCATATTTTTCTCTCTCCCCCCCTTTGGTTTCCAGAAACTCATAAAGCCAAACTTAGCTCCAATTATCCAGGAGAACCTTTTGAAAGAAGTGTCACAACAGAAGCATGTCTTAGAAATAATTTCTGCTCTGGCTACTCCCGTGCCACGGAATGTTACTTCTGTTGAAGAAAGTAAGTTATGTGCATCCAGGATTTGAGAGCTGAAACAGGCTGTAAAAAATTTCTGAACTTCTCTCTAGAATCTTCAACCTGGTGTTCCCAACTGTTTCCCTAATGCATCCCATTAAATCATCATCAAAATGCTTTGTGGTCCACCATTCCTGTCAAGAATTTGGCCTGTGTGGGTGCTGTGCTGTGTGTGATTTCCCCCTCCCTGGCTGATAATATTTAAAAGATTCCAAAATTAAACAATACTTAAAAAAAAAATACTTTTAAAAGGCTGAAATCTTGTGAAATTTCAAATGTTTTGAGAGTTTAACATTCCAAATTTCACGAGAGCTTAGTGTTCTCACCTAAAACCTTACGCAGTCGTATATATGTTTATATATATGTATGTATGTATGTATGTATGTATGCATGCATGCATGCATGCATGTATGTATGTATGTATGTATAAATAATTTATTTTATTCTGGTGCCTGCATATGGACCACCTGCAGGTTGATTTATTCATCATGCAGTCTGGTTTATTTATCCAAGCTGTGGAGTGCCAGAAAAAGTCTCTGGATCAATCACTGCTTTCTTGTAAGTCAGAATTCAGGGCTAAGCAATCGTATTCATAGTAGAGCAACAGAATGGATGAAGAGCATCTCTGGTTTTGTTGTTGTTGCTGCACCTAAGTGAGAGCTGGGAGGGTATTAAAGACGGCAGATTTAACTAGGAATCAGGTTGTGCTCTTTGGGATCACATCAAATGTCAGCATGGATCCTCTCAACATTTATTATGGCTTGCAGTTTGTATGACTGCATCTGGAAAAAAAGCATTTGAAATCTGCAATGTCTAAAGCTAGAACAAGGCTCAGGGGCTATGTGGTTTTTGCAATTACAGATGTTTTTGTAATGAACAGATTTTTATTTATGTTTCGTTGCTGCTGGGTGAGTTGGTTTCTCAGTTGTCTGGCAAAACATTTGAGAAATGTCTCCCTTCTTTCCTTGTCATATAATCACTTGAAATTCTGACCCATGGGTTGGGTAGGTGAGGTGAATAAAAGACTAGTAGCGTAATTTGGTAACATACCAGGGATAGCCAATCTGGTGCCTTGCAGATCTTTTGGGCTACAACTCCCACAGTCACTTATGGTTGATTACGTTGGCTACAGCTAATGAGAGTTGAAGTCCAAAACATCTGGAGTGTATTAAGCTACCTATTCTTGATCCACACATTCTTATTTTATGTGTTTGCATATATTCAAAATTGTAGTGGTTCATCTTGGCATGATCTAGTATTCTATTTCCAGCTGAAAGAAAGTTCTGATTCCATGGCTAACTTCCAAAGCTATCTTTTGCAGTTATCCAAAAAGCCAAAAAGCAGAAACACTGCTTGAAGATCTGGAGTAAGTGCACTGAACAGGGAAGCATATTATTCTGTCCAGTGGAAAGATTTTGGAATCCTTTGAAATATATATTGATGTTCAAAACAAAAGAGAAATATCGACACCATCTAGAAAAAGGTACTTTTTAATATGTGGGTCATCTGATTGTTTTGGACTGAAAATGTCTCTTGTTTATGTTCAGAGCTAATAAGGTTTATTCTAGACCAGGGGTCTCAAAATCAAATCTGTCAAGAGTTTTGCATGAGTCCAAGGGCTACTTGAAGCCTTTTCATACATTGATATACTGTAGAAGTCCCTAGTGAGTTAACAAGGAAGAAGAGGAAGAATATCACATTCAATATAAATGTATTACAGGTATCCTCACCTAGTGACCAGAATTGGGACTGGCAACTCTGTTGCTAAGCAATGTGGTTGCTAAGCGTGAAACATCACGTGACTGCAACAGGCTTATGACTTCACTTTCCCTTTGTTTGTTAAGCAAAGCAGCGGGGTCATTAAACAAGACATCACATGACTGCAACTTGCAATTTGACTGTCAGCTTCCCCATTGACTTTGCTTGTCAGAAGCCATTTGTGAAGTGTGCAAATGGCGATCACATGACTGTGGGATTCTGCGATGGTCATAAAAGACCGCCGGTTGTGAAATGCTCGAATCTCAATCATGTGACTGCAGGGACACTGCGATTGTTGTAAATGTGAGGACTGGTCATCAAGTTACTTTTTCAGCACCTTCATAACTTCAAATGGTAACTAAACAAGGCGGTTGGTAAGCTAGGTCTACCTGTTAATATATTTTTTTAAAACTTCATTGCTATGCTTTTGCCATTTCACTGTGGCCACCTTATTGGGTAAGAAAAATTGTTCAAAGAGAATTCTATGAAAATTAAAGTGCTATATATCTGTCCAAAGGCATTTAGTGGGATGGAGGAGCCATCCCTGCTGCGCCCAACATACAAAGCGGAAAGCCACTCACTGCAAGAGCTTCTGGGAGGCTCCTGTGCCTGCATTTCGGCCTGGGTAACAAGGCAAGTGGCAGCTGGCAGACAGAGAGCAACAGCTTTGCTGTCAAGCAGATAGGAGGGAGTGGTCAAACACTGAGGGGTGAACTGCAGCAGAAGGTCCATAACCAGCCAAGGGGTAGAACAGATCCACTCTGCTAAGCACCATGTATGTAAAGGAACCCAACAAGGCCTGCTACATCACAGTTGTAGCGCTGCCTTTAGGGAAGAATGGAGGCTCTGACAGGGGCAGGGGCAGTGCGGGTGGCGGTACGAGCAGTGGTGTGAGCACAAGAAGGGCAAGCAAGGGCTGCACAGCCATGCAGTGGTGCTCAGAGCAAGCACTGGCAGCCCTGTGGTCCCCACGCACAATGATGTAGCTGAGCCCGACTCCCACAGGCAAATTTGGACTTGCAGGATCCCTTTGCATGAGGGGTGAGGCACACTTGCCCACCTCCACTGGCACTCTGCATGCCAGTTCCTGGCTGGGAGTCAAGGCAGACTAGCCAGCTCTTTCAGACCACCCCACTTCATAGTTAATAGTTTCTTATTCCAATAGAAGAGAATATATGTAGCTCAGGGTTGAACTGTGGAGTCTTATTATAAACCATGGAGTGTTGTAGCCTCCTGTTCTGTTTCTATAGCACAAGGATTGGTCTTGAAGAATGATTATTTTTGAAGGGCTTTTATTTGACATTTTTGACATTTGATTTTTGATAAAACTGCTAATGCTAGTTGGTAAGCAATTTATTAATTTTGCAACAAAAGAATTTAATGTTATTACATTGTTTTCTATTGAGAAAATAGGTGTTGGTATTTATCATTTATATCAATGTGTTGTATAGTGCGTTTCAGCTCATGAATTTATAGATTATAGTGTGTTGCTATAGATTGTTTTGACACCTTGTGAGTCAACTTGACAGATGGCTTGTAGCCTTAGAAATAAGGAAATAAATCAATATATTATGGTTAAAACAGTGTGCAGTCCACATCAAAGAGATATACGCACTTCTCAATTCTCTACATTCCCCTTCAGTTTTGCAGATATTCCTGGAACAGATAGTTGGAGGCATTTTATTAGGTAACTCGACAGATCTCCCAGCTGAATCCGTGACGTTATTCCAGTTTTACAGCTATCTGGAGAAACACCATGTAAACAACTTGGAAAAATATTTGATCCGATTTGCTAAAGAAGGTAAATGGGTGGATAGAAATGGAGAACCAAAATAAAATTTGGTTGATTCCCAACCCTAAATGTTGAAATAAGAAAATCAGTGGCAATTTTGTTGGTACAATTAATTTATTTCAAAGATTTGCATGCTGCCAATTCATCTTAGATTCTAGGCAGCTTTCAGGCAACAGCACAGTCAAGTACAAATTAAAACATCCTCTCAACCCTAGATGACCAATTCCAATTTAGCAGTTTCTTTCAATTGGGTGGCAATCCTTGCCCTGAAAGTTCTTGGGAAGAGCTTTATCTTAATGAGCTTCTGCAATGACAATAGGAGAGGGATTGTCTTGACCTCAGAGGCAAACTGCTCCACAGAGAAAGGTAATGACCAAGAAGACCTGCTCCCAAGACCCTACTTCCTTCACATCTCAAGAAGGAAGGAATCCACAGCATGCCCTCCCACCAGCGCACACTGGATGGATAGATTCCAGATGGAGTAGACAGTCTCAGAAATAATGAGGCCCAGAACTATAATGAGTTTTAAGGGTGATAACAATCTAGGTTGCAGGGGATAACAATGGCATGTCTGTTCCTAATGTTGCTGGTAGCTTGGGCTTTTCTATGGAAAAGAAATGCAGTCAAATGCGTTAGTAATTAGCAAATATCATTGTCTGATCTTTGGGACAGCAGTTGTTGAAAAGCTTCCCATTTGTCATGAAATGCTATCCTTAATTTTTTCCCATCCAGACTTTTTTCTGATCAGCCTCAGTGACCCATCATTTGATTTCTCCCAAAGGCCAGGACTGAATAATTTAGGAACATTGTGAATATGTGCTTGGGCCTGAGCGTCACTGCTGCCTCCTAGCTATGCCGCTCTTGCAAGTAAGTGTATTAGGTAAGTGTTTCCCAATCTTAGCAATTTCCAGATGTGTGAGCTTCAACTTCCAGAATGTTGGCCATGTTGGCTAGGGAACTCTGGGAGTTGAAGTCCACAAATCTGTACATTGCCAAAGTTGGGAAGCACTGCTTTAGAGCCACGAGGACAATTCCTAAGAATGGAAAATTTTAACAGCAAACTCAACAAAATAAAGTAAAGCCAGTGTATCAGCATCTTTTGGGATGTATCTGTCTCAGTATCTAGATTACCTACAGGCTTCTTAGAGAAGGGCATGTTAATATTGCTTAGTACATTTACATCTCATCTTTCTCCCATTGTGGACCTCAAAGAGTCATATATAGATTTCGTAGATAATTTTAAAGTTGATTGGACCATCCCTGTTTAATTTGTTGACAAGCTGATTTGGTGGTATCTAGTACACCTCCTGTGTTTTAGCATTCAGTATGTTACCACTCTTTCACTTCCATCTTGAGGCTCAGAGGAATGTCAGAACTTCAGGTTGCACTGCAGTGGGCCACTGATTTCAGTAGGAGATATTGACAGCTACTTGTCATGTTGGGTGCACACTGTTCCAATTATAGAGGGAATTTATCACCACAAGTTTGCTTTTGTGTGTGTGTGTGCCTTCGAGTCAGTATTGACTCCTGGCAACTGCCTGGACAAGTCCCTGCAGATTTTTTGGCAAGACTTCAGAAATGGCTTGTCATTGTCCCCTCCTTCTTAGGGCTGAGAGGGAGGTCAGTCACTCCCACAGCTGGCTTTGTGCCTGAGGCAGGACTAGAACTCACAGGGTCCCACTTTCCAGCCTGATGCCTTAACCAAACTGGCTTTATACAACTTCGCTGCTGGAAAATAAAACCAGGAGAGGAGGAACAATTTAAGGATCTACTTCTGGAGTTCCCAGAGGCATCTGATGGGGAAAGAAGAAGCAGAAGCAGGTGGGCTTTCATCCTATAGGGATGTTTTAACATTCATTCAGCCCCCAATATTCCAGTTCAAAGGTCTGGAAGTAGTGTTTTAGCATTGCTTTGGGCCTGTATCCTTGGAGAGGATACTTCTAGTCACAGTAGTTAGCACAATGGCTTGATCAGAAATGATAACTCAAAGACCACATATGGTTTCAGATTTGAGAATAACCCCCCCCCCTTAAAAAAAAACACAGTCTTTTAGCCTTTGGCTTTGCCTTTTTCACCACAGCACCAAAGGATGGGAGACAACAATAGTAATAGTTTTTCTGAGCCTCTCTATTTATGGCTGAATTCCTTTCTTCCAGTAATATTGACAGAAGACCTGCAACGTCCTGGGAGAATGAAGAAAATAAAGAAGCTAAAAGGGAAGCAGCTGAATCAGCTGGAACCTCTGCCTCAGACCTTACGGCTCCTTGCAGTCCTGCAGCTTGATGAGAATCATCGTATAGGCAAAGCGGCCACATCATGCCTTTCTCGGGCAGCAGCCAACAGGAATTTCAGGGAAAAGGTATGAGCTTTCCTCTTTCCCCAGAATGTCCTACTAGCTGCACCCTGGAAATATATGCATCTCCATGCATTTCAGTAGCCAGAGGTCTGCTTTGTCTGCCTTCTGTCCATGGCAGGGGCTTCAAATGCAGCGCCATGGAAATCCTAGCCAGTATAGGTATTTTTATGTACCTGGAATAAGTATCCTTGATTTATACTTTGGATCCTCCACGGATCTCCTGCTGACATGCATCACTTCCCTCCTCCATGTATAGTTTTCATAGTAATCTAGGTCAGGTAAACTAAAGCAAGGGAGTGTTTTGTTCGCATTAGGACATGAACTACATGAGCAAGCAGAGATCTGATCTTGCATCTCCTTTCTCCAAGTCCAACCCTTCGAGACAGCTTTCCTTAACCCAGATGCAATGAATTACATTCCCATAATTACCCACTTGCACTAAGGATGTGCCGAGCTGAGAATTGAGAAATTTGTAGCCCAGCTCTTCCAGGGCGGAGCCAGATTGAAGGAAAAGTGGCCCTAACCAGTACATTGCCCTTCTTTGCTTAAGTTGGGGTGAAGTGGCAGGAAGTGAACCTCATTGGCCTTTTGTAATTGAATAGTGAGTTATCCCTTAAAATAGCAACTGGATGGCAGTGCTGCGTAAGGGAAGAATGACGCTGGGCCTTGACAGATGTATTTGCAAGAGAATCCTTTTGAGTGAACAGCATACCAAAAAAAAAAAAAAAAGTCAGCCAGATGGCTTTAGCTATCTGGGTCAATATAATGGTGATTGTCTGAAATGTATCTGTTTGCAAAGGAAGAGAGAGAGCAGGATCACATACAGGGCTAGGGTCCCCTTTAGGATTGTTAAATTCCAACAGCCTTTTCCAGCTGGGTGCCTTCCAGATGTGTAGGGATTACAACTGGGAGGGAATTCTGGGAGTGGTGCCTCATACCCATCAGGGTGGTGCTAGGTCAGGGTTATGGCTGATACTTTTATGCTAAAGTATTTTTAAAGAAGAAATATTAACAGCCTTGTTACATTCTTTTTGCTACAGGCTCTTCCTTTTTACACAGATCTCTTAAGCAACGATGATGCTAAACTACAGCAAGCTGCATGTCTAGCCCTCAAAAACCTCAGAGTGAGTGCTTTTAAAGAAATTTTTAGAGCTATGGTTCTCAAAGTGCGGGGTTTTTATGTGAGGTGGTGTCCGTGAAGTCAGATAAATATTTTAAAATTTCTCAGTTTTAATTTCTAATACAGTAAATACGGATAGATATAACCCACATAAACCAAAACTCTTTGGCGTCCTCAATCATTTCTAAGAACGTAAAGGGTCCTGAGATCAAAATGTTTGAGAACCGCTGCTTTACAGCAGTGTTTTTCAAACTTGGCAACCTTAAGATGTGTGGACTTCAACTCCCAGAATTCCCCAGCCAGCATGGTGGCAGGGGAATTCTGGGAGTTGAAGTCCACACATCTTAGAGTTGTCAAGTTTGAAAACGCACTGCTTTAGAACATTCTTGGGGAGAGGAACCATCCGGACAAGTTTCATCAACAGCCAGCAGAGGGTGGAAAAGTCCTTCCCCAAGAGAATTTAGGACATGTTATCTGTCCTTGGAATTCTCCTAGGGCTCCACTATCTTGGAACAGCGCAGGGGGCATCTGTCAAAGAAGGTACCCTCCAAATTTCTTCTGTTTGGAGAACAAAGTCTGGGGTCTTAAGGAGATTCTGCGATCAGGTCGTGCATTGGTCTGGACACCAGAACATTCACTACTGTGCCTAGCTGTGCCCTCAGGACTTCGAACTCTGTGGCAGCCTTAAGCTGTGGAAATTGGTGACTTCCTTTCAGGCACCAGTTCATTACATATATTTGTGAAAGCATTTTGCAGACTGTTTACCCTTTGCTGAAATTACAGCTCCTGATAAACAAGCAGAACTTAGCATTGCAACATGGGCAAATGATCCCTGTTGGCTTTCTTAGAAAACAAACCCAACTGTTGCAGTCCAATGTTTTGCTTCAAAGTGTGCCAAACCCAGAAAAAGGACAACGAGTAAGCAGGGAGAATAGAAAGGAGGACTAGAGGTAGTAGTGGGAGTAAAGTTAGTAACTTTCTGGAAAGGTAGTGCTATTTTGGGAATGAGAATGCTTCCATCCGCCCTTCCTGCAGCTGTGTTGCACGTGAGCTCACAGTATGTTCTCAAAATTCCAAATGTACCCATTTCCCCCATCCTCCCCCCCCCCAAAAAAATGTTGGAGAGCCCTTTAAGTAATAACATTGCACTGAGAGCCAGTTTGGTATAGGGGTTAAGGTCCTGGCTGGGAAACCAGGAGACTGTAAGTTCTAGGCCTGCCTTAGGCATGAAAGCCAGCTGGGGGACTTAGGGCCAGTCCCTCTCTCTCAGTCCAACCCACCACACAGGGCTGTTGTTGTGGAGAAAATAGGAGGCAGGAGTACTGGGTGTGTTTGCCATCTTGGGTTGCATATAAAAAAGGCAGGATAAAAAAATGTATTCGGTAAATTATGATAGACAAAGAACATGATGCTTCTGGGTGTCACTGGCTTGCACTCATGCAGTGGGGACTCACTTGTCTGGATAGTGTGTTACAAATGAACTTCCAGGTCAATTATTGTATTGCTCTAGCCTTCTGAGCTGGAGAATGGGTAGAAGCAGAGCATTAAGGAAACAAAGATGCAGGTAAAATTCTCCATCATGAGACGCTGGTCTGTCCTTTCTCTACTGGAATGCCATACATTTCAATTTACTGAAGCAGAGGTTAGCTGTTCTTAGAGAGATGCATTGAGGTTAAGAATGGGGAAGAAACCATAAGGTGCTGTTATTGAAATGTTTCTTTTACCAAACAGGGCATTGAAAGTCTAGAGCAAATTGCCAGACTGTGCCAGTCAGAAACGGAGGAAGTGCGGAACGCTGCCAGAGAAACAACACTTTCATTTGGTAAATACTTTCATGATCCTCTGCTTAGGGGTTCTGAGTGAGAGTGAATAGCAAGTACAGGTAGTCCTCATTTAGTGACCACAATTGGGACTGGCAACTCAGTTGTTAAGTGAAGCGGTTGCTAAATGAAACGTGCTTATGATCTTACTTCAGCTTTCCTTTGCTTTACCAACCTGCAACGGTTGTAAATGCAAGGATTTCAAGTACAGGTAGTCCTCATTTAGTGACCACAATTGGGACTGGCAACTCAGTTGTTAAGTGAAGCGGTTGCTAAATGAAACCACAACTGTGCTTATGATCTTACTTCAGCTTTCCTTTGCTTTACCAACCTGCAACGGTTGTAAATGCAAGGATTTGTCATAAAGTTACTTTTTCATCACCATTCCAACTGTGAACAGTCACTAAATGAAGACTACCTGTAAAGTAGCAAGTAAAAAAAAACCTCTGGAGCTTGTAGAGTTGATCCTCTTAGTGGGGATGGGTGTTGCACCAAGATGTAAATACTGCTTGTCCTAAAGAACTGGCTTTCCTTCCACTGTTGGATCACATCTTCTAGGTATCATGAGATTTTTTCTTACGGCAAACTTAAAACGCTCTCTGCCATTTCCCTTGCTGTCCATCATGCTCCAGGTTCCAGCTGATTTTTAAAATTCTTTTTAAAATATATAATTAAAAAGTAAATGGGAAGCAAGCATGCTGTGAAGCAACGTTGTTGTTGTTATCTCTCTAATCCCAAGCATTGTTCCGGGCCTCATAAATACCCTGAAAACATTGAGAAAACCAAAATGATAGGAGGTTTCAGTCCAGTGCTTTGATGGAAGTGTATTCATTTGTCTAGAAAAAAAGTCAGAAGGAAGCTGTAATGGTGGAGACCAGCCAACAAAGCTAGAGGACACAGCAGGGACCAACCTCGTTAGTTTGCCCCCATGCCAATTTAGGTGTTTGGTGCTAGTCCCTACCCCACAGGGCAGTCACCTGGAGAGAGGGCCCGTCGCAAATGCTGGACACCACTGCTTCATGCTATCTTTAGCCAATATGGTTAGTGGTGAACCATGATGGGAGTTGTATTCCAGTAACATATGGAGTGCCACAAATTTCCCTTCTTTCCTCTGTGCCCTGATTCAGGGGTTAGTTTCTGCCATTCTAGCAGGCATACTGTAATCTCTTCTACAAATTCGGGGATGACATTTTGGTGACAGATAGTCTTGGCCTGGACCTGCCTTTCTCTTGGTTTGGAACAGCCTCTCTCAGGAGATATGGGTGACCCCAACCCTGTTGGCCTTCTGGAAGGCCAGGAAGACCTGGGTTTTCTCCCAGGCCCAGTAGGTTAATGGAAATCTGGCATCTTGGGGTGGTTTGGGGTGACATGTGGGTATGTGACATGAGGGTGATCGATCTGGATTACATTTTATGTTTGTATCTTTGTTCACCACCCAGAGTTCCACTGGCTAGATGGATGGCCATATAAATTTGTTTCATACATGAATAAATTTAGGTCTCCTCAATTAAATGTCACCTTGTGGGACTGAGGAAGTGTGCCTTCTCAGTCACTGCCCCTGCCCCCGCCCTCTGGAACAGCCTCCCCCCAGAGATACCTATGGTGCCCACTCTCCTGGGGTTCCAGAAAGCTCTTACAATCTGGCTTTGGTCCCAGGCCTGGGGTTAGTGTGTTAGCAGAACCCCTGTTGTGTTTTTTATTGTTATGGTTGTTTTTAGTCTTGGCTGTTATGTTTTGCTGTCATGTTTTCAATTGTTTAATTGACATACAAGCTACCCAGAGTCTTATGGAGTCAGCAGCCATAATAAATTTAATAAAAATACGAATAAAACAAGCAAACAAATAAATAAAAGCTACAAAGTTACACTGGAACTGGGGAGTATCCTGAATGGCTAAAATGAATGACAGGAAGCAATTTTTGAAATGTGCATTTTCTGACTGCCAAAATGCTCATTGCAGCCACCTTGTGAATTACGAACATGGGAGATCTTTTCTCAAGATGCCAAACGTGCCTGCCAACTGGAAAGATTGTCTGTGCCTATGCTATATATTTTAAAGTGTTTGAGGAAGCTATGAGACATTTTCAGAGCCCTTTCTTCTTAATAAATTATTTCCATGATGCAGAATAAATTGATTATTAGTATTCAGGAAACAATAAATACCCAATAAAGGAAGAGTAATACAGAAAGGAATCTTTGCTTATGGTGTAGAGCTGGCCTGCAAAACAAGCAGCCTTGTGTGGCCTGTTGGCGTTTTTTAAATTTACGGCTGCCAAACGTTGCCACTGCCACCCCAGAAGACACACTGCCAACGCCTCCAATGCTTCCAGGCCTCGCTGATGCTGACAGCTCCATCTCTGCCCCTGTTCCACTAGCACTGAACAGCCAGCTGGCACATCAGCCATTCCTTTGCGGCCTGCAATTATTTTTAATTTATTAATGTGGCGCTTTCCCCTATACAAGTTGTGTAGACCTAGTGTAGAAGATGGTTGAACCTATAGGGTGGAAGGCTGGAGGTATCAGACCTTCTGTCCTAGAAATCCTTTGTCCCTTCACATCCATCAGATACTTTTCACAGGAATCAGGACTGGAAATGATCAGTCCAGAAAACAATCCTCAGAATAGGAAGATTTATTCGGAAAAATACTGACGTTAAGATACAGCAATGAGAAACCTATGCATTTGGCAAATCAAAGCAGTTAGATTCTTGTTTTCTTTCTTGCACTCTTTTGATATAAGAGAGAGGAAGCCTGTCTCTTTTGAGAAGGCGAGTCAGCCTACACTTATGAATTGTTTGCAAAATGGTTACTAGCATCTTTGTCAATGTGAGAACCAGTTCTGACAACATCCTGGCTTGTGGTTCCTACTACCACCACCTATTTTTCAGGGGCAGTTGATCTGGCATCCTCCCTCCTCAACTCAATGTGTGAAAGAGATAGGAGTCTCACAACCTGTGTTTTTTTGTCAATTAAAAGTAAAAATGCATGAGCTATATCATTGTAGTACAGGTAGTCCCCAGTTTAAGCTCAAATTCCATTCCCAAGGTCTGTCCTTAAGTCAAATTTGTATGTAAGCCGGAACAGTATTATTGTATAATACTGCATAAGTAGTATTGTGTAATTAACTTGAACCATTGTGCATTTAACTCAAAGCATTGTGTATTTAACTAGAATTTTGCTACAATAGGCTCTGTTCTTAACTATGGGTTGTCCATAAACCGGGCATTCTTAACTCAGGGATTAGCTATAGTGCAGCTTCCTAGCTGCAAAGAGGCATGATTCATCCCTTCCTTCCATCCTTAGGACATAGAACAATCTCCCTAGAGATAAAGAAAATGAAACTTTATTTAAAAAGAAAATATAAAAAAGGTAACCCCTCCTTTGAAGTTCAAACAGTTAAATGCAAATAGTGTTGGTAAAATAAATTATAGAGATGTTTGGATCATGATGATACAGCTTGCAAGAATATTGAGAGACATTTTGATATCTTCATATATAATCTGATAGATGGATGGATTAGGTTATATACTCCATTTCATAATTTGTACAGAGAAATAAGAGTAAACTTGTGCAGTACTGAAAAAGATAATGCAACTGATCGACAATTATCGGAAATATTTAGTTGCAGTTATTGCTACCCAAGGGGAGGGGGGCACACCAGTTACTAAAAGCAAAGGTTGACATACTTCTGCCACACAGAAATATGTAGCTTTGGATCATTTTCCTCAATGAATAAATGAACAAATATGATGTTTTGACTCATTTGTTTAACTGGGTTCTCTTTATCTAGTTTTAGGACTCGTGTGGAGAATGGATCACATTTTAAGTCATATTTATGCAGAAATACTGAAAATTCAAAAGGTTTCACAAACTTTAAAGCAGTGCTGTATTTGTCTTGTTCTTCTGTTTCAACTATTGTGGATTTTCCATTTCCCTGGGGTTCCAAACTTTAATCTGAGGCTGCTGCTAAATTCCTTTCTTTCCAAGCCTTGGTCTACTCCTCCTACAGTTCTGTCTAGATTTAAAACAAACACAGTTTTTTTGTACCCAGTGGAGGGAAGGGCTGGAGCAATCTCCCTCTATACATGACCAAGCACATCTCTCCTTTGCAGGGACAAGTATGGACAGTCTGGAAGGAGGACGACCATCTGTACCTCATGAGAATGTGGACTGCTATTCCCAACACAGCTATATTATTCATGGTTGCTTTCTGTTTTTCTTTGCAGGAGAAAAGGGAAGGTTGGCTTTTGAAAAAATGGACAAAATATGCTGTGAACTAAGAGAGGCTATGTATCAGGAGGCTGAAATTGAAATTACAGTATTTTGAACAATAGCTTCAAAGGAGGTACCAAAGGTTAGATGCTGCAGTAGAAAGTAATCTTCCAAGAGGAAGGAAGAGTTGAACACCATTGGCAAATGTAACAACAAATCATAACTAGAAAGTCTTTTAAGCATCCCCATTCTACAGTCTTCAATATAATAACTAATATTATGCTTGCACTATATCTGGATGCTGAAGATGTATAGTGAAACCCAAAACACCATTTTTGGATTTGAGGAATGTGAATTGAGAAACTTCTTTTTTTTAACTGTTGGGCATCCTCCTTCGCTTTCCATTCAAGACAAATATTTATCTTCTCTGGACACAAGAGGAGGCAGACTGTTTTATATATTTATTCATTTAATTCTTGTAGACCAAGATTTTCAAATGTAAAGTTCTAAAATTATTAGCTCATTGCAGCAAATTAACCTGTGGTCATCGTCTAGTTTGCAACAAACCTTGCAGAGGCCTTAGCCTACACAAAGGGCAAAAGCTGAAGAAAGCACCAGGAGGATCATTTCAAATTTTAGTCACTTTTTACATAAAATATCCTAGGGCAAACACATCGACCCTGCCCCCAGTTGACTCTTGTTCTTTGATTTGGGGACAGGGACTTCTGCAAGGGAAGTAAAAAAAAAAAAAAATCAGAATGGTGGCTGCAACTGGGTTATTGAAGCCTTGTCCTGTTTTTTATTTGTATCGTATGTACAATACATGTGAAAAAGTGAGCAGGGCTTTGATTGTACATAGAGCAGTGTTCCTTAACCTTGGCTGCTTTAAGCTGTGTGGGCTTTAACTCCCAGAATTTCCCCGCCAGCCAGAATTCTTGGGGGTGGAGTCC